TATATATATGAATGGTTGAGTTGGTGGAATAGTAGGGTGGGTCCTACATGCACTAGGAACTAAACTAACTTTACCTGATGATGGCTTCCTCGGCTATTGCATATCAATTTGCTTTACTTTACTTTTTTCTTTGAAATGCTCTTTCATATTGCAAGTGAACACAACTTAATTCGAAAATTGGAACTAAACAGTAAAGGCATAACTATCCTTCCACAATGGAGTATTTATTTGGATAAAGTAGACATAAAATTCTAATTTCATTAATAATAATAAAAATACTAAAAACATTTGGTTGATTAATTTAACATGCATCTTATTGTCAAAGGAGACAGTTGGCTTCTATTGTTCATTCACCGCTGATTTCAGTGGTTTGGTTCTTAGTCATCGGTGATAACTACGTACTTTATTACCCTCTTCGATTCTGTTTGGGCAACTGTTCATTTATTAGGACATTGTCGGGGTACTCAATTATTTAAAAATCAAGAAAAATGATGCATCTTCCAAAAATTTTAATCGAAAGAATCTTTGAGCTTTTAAAATTTTTAAATGTTTAAAATAAAATTGTTGACAGGAATGAATTGTTTATCAGTTTGGAGGATGATTCAAATGAATGGTTTCGGAAGATATAACAAAACTAAAAAATCAATGTTTAGTAATATTATTATTTTGATATGTTTTAAATAATATGATTACGCGTGATTAACTAATAATGTGAAAATTGTATATATAGTTAACAAAATTAAACTTAAAGTAATAAATGATAAAAAGAAGACAATAAGACATAAACGATGAAGTAGGAAAAGTGAAATATTATGAAGATTCCCAAAAGCAACAATTAATTGTGTGGTACATGCAATGTCGTAGGATTATTTTCTCTGCCACGGTTATTGCATAGAAAAGTTGGACGTGTAAGAGTGGTTGCTTTATATTATCGTAACCCTATCCCACTATCTTCTGAATTGGCAAAGGTATTGACAAGTTGAAGTATAAAGGACAGCTACAAGAAAACAAGGTTGTTAAGATAGGTGAGCTTGTATTGACACTAGACATATTCATTTGTCCCCTTCAATTATGTTATATCATGAGATAGATTAGACAACAACATTTTCCGAAAGTAAGAAAGTTTCGTTAGTTCTGAGTTGTTGCATGGAATCAAAATTGTACTAAGTACTAATATATTATGATTGGGAAGCAACAAACACCTATGTTTAGTTCTTGTTTCTTTGCTATCACAGAATGAACTTAATATTTTTTTATACTCCACCAGATTTGGTGAGTTTTGTTCATCTTTTATCGGTGCGTTGGAGCTAAGTTTTGTAGATAATTTTATAAATATATTATTTTTAAATTTATTGACGATCACATCAATTGTTTTTTTTTTTTTCTCTGTCTACCTAATTTCACTTGGTAGGTTTTTAAAGTCAATATATATCCAGGAGTTGTGAGCAATTACACTTTCTAAGTTCGCTGATAAGTGTATATTTTTAGATTTTCACGTCGTTGATTTTAACTAAAGAAAAATTCAGAAGTTATATATAGCATCTTTGTATTAAACCCTAAACCAATCCATGCACATATAAAATATTATAAAATCACATTAGAACAGTCGATTCATAATTGTTTGATTATATGTAAAAAAAAAAAATTGTAATTTAACTTATCCTTATAAGTGTTATCATCAGATGGTGGATAAGTCTAAAAATAATTAATAATTATTATAATATAAGTTCTAATATATTTTCACACTATCTTAAAAAAATAATTTAAAATTAATTCATTCTTACAAAATTAATATATAAATGAGGAATTGATCTTCACTTTGATCTTTACTTATAAACATTATTATATAATCTTATTTTTAAATGATAATGTAGATAGTAGATTGTGCCTTTTAGTTAAAACTTTTCATAAAAATCTTTTCCTAATTTAATTAATTAATTTATTAATAAAAAATGATCAAAAGAATTAAGAAATTAAACATAAAATAGTGGTGTGAAGTGATACAAAATTTGACGATCGATATAATTTTAGAAATCATTGTGGTGTCATCACAGGCTTGAGGCTTCCTTAGAAGTGACTCTTGGGATTCCTGAGCTTGTTTTAAGCCCAGAAAATAGAAATTGTGAATCACTGCATGTCTGAATCTTGGAACCAGGCAACTCTATGGATGTCTCTGACACTCATTGACAGGTGTCAAAAGCTGCAGGCATTACAGAATTGGGTGATCATGAATTGATTGGATGGGATAGCATCACCTTCATTGCGTTCTTGGTCGTTAGGTACTTTTCATTCCATATCTCTGACTCTCACTATATTTGTTGTCTTTGCAGCTCTAGCCATACGTGTAACACATTACTTTAACAGATTTCCTTCTGTTCTATGTTCTATAAAAATAAAAATAAAAATAAATCAATAATGTTGTGCTTCTAACAGAATCATACCACTATTTTTTATTATTATTTATTTTATCTCTTTTCCATCACATTACACGTCTTATATTTTTGTGTAGAGGAGGGCTTAAGGCCCAAAACAAACAAAAAAAACCAAGATGAATCCGCTCCTGAGAACTAATAACAAATAAATAAATAAATTAAATGAAAAGTTCAAATATTCATAATCGAATCTTATCACAAATGATCAATATAAAGATACAGAAGTTATGTAAAAATAAAAATTTAAAAATTTTAAAAACTCTCATGACTCTTTTAAGTGTTTAATGAAAAAATTGTTAGATAATATTGCATTACTAAATATATATAGTTTCAATCAATTTCTATATAATATATATTTAATTTTTTAATTTATAAAAAATAATTAATAACATTCAACTATATATCATATAAAAATTAGTTAAAAGTTATAATGATGTCGAATTACTTAATAATTTCTCGTTCACATTAAATATTTATAATCTATGTATGATTAGATAACTCATTTTTATTTTTCTCATTTTCATTAAATATGATTCTTTCACTAAATATAACTGGATACGCGTATATATAATTTTCTCTTTCCCCTTGCCACCAAGAATATCCATCATGTTATCTTTTTTTTTTTTTTAACAGCCATCATGTTATCTAGTGTGTTAGGTCGACGAAAAATATAAAAAGAAAAAAATATATATTTCAACTGTATTTTATTCAAAATTTCGAAGAAGAGGAAGGAATATAACAAGACAACTAAAATCCACTCTTCTTCCTTTTAACAAAGAAAGAATTTGAAAGTGAATATTTGAAATTTTATTCCATCTATCATATTACTATTTATAGTGCCATAATGTATTATTTATATTTTTCCTTCTTTTTCCTATCAACGGTAATATTTTTCCCCTTCCTACCATTTCCTTCAACCAAACCAAACAATTTGTTTACGTGCACTTCTTGTTCTTGATCGATAATCTTCAAAGCTTTGACAATGACCACTAATTAATATGATAACTGTGAACTAAACATTGCTCCTCTGCCAGACTTTTGGTTTAACTAATTAAATCAAATTCCTAAAGTGCCACAACTTTCTTTGCATAGCTTATAGTCTCAGAATCTGTCTGGAAAATTTCTACAACCTGAGTAGCAATAATAATATATTTTAAAAATAAATTTAAAAAAAAAAAGAAAAAAAAAACTTCAGAATACATTTAGGGGGATGTGCAAGGCCCATGCAAGAGCCCAATAGCAAGATAATGTTATATATTATTTCCCCTTCTTCTTCACTTGATCCACATGGGTCTTCCCAACTATACTGCTTCACGCCCATGTTCACGTTATTAGCAGGAAAAATAGACATTTCTTACTTCTTAATTTTTAAAAAATTATAAATAAGTTAATAAAGAAATAAATTGAATGGATGGTTGTTGATGGTTACTTAAAAAAATATGAACAATTATTTAATTATTTTTTTAATAAGTGAAGGGTATAATGATCTATTAGAAGTGAAGATTAAAAATAATTTTTTACTATATATTTCAATA